GTTAGCATATTTTGGATCAACAAAACCTTCTGGTTGCATCATATACAACTCTTCTTCCAGAAATCCATTCAAGAATGCAGTTTTGACATCCATTTGCCAAATTTCATAATCATAAAATGCAGCCATTGCTAACATGATTCGGACAGACTTAAGCATCGCTACGGGTGAGAAAGTCTCATCGTAGTCAACCCCTTGAACTTGTCGAAAACCTTTCGCAACAAGTCGAGCTTTATAGACAGTTATATTACCATCAGCGTCAGTCTTCTTCTTAAAGATTCATTTATTCTCAATGGCTTGCCGATCATCGGGCAAGTCAACCAAAGTCCATACTTTGTTCTCATACATGGATCCCATCTCAGATTTCATGGCTTCTAGCCATTTTGCGGAATATGGGCTCATCATTGCTTCCTCATAGTTCGTAGGTTCGCCATGGTCAAGTAACATGACTTTCATAATAGGATTACCGTACCACTCTGGTGCGGACCTTACTCTGGTAGACCTAGCCATGTATCCTCCCAAAATCTTGTTCTCATCCCATTGCCAACAAGAAATTTGGTCCTACGGAAGAACAAGTCTTTCATTCTCATAAGCCCTTTCCAGAATGGCGAATCATTCGGCCTCGCGGTGACTTGGTCAAGAGTTTTCGATTGCAGATATTTGTTATGCAATATATGTGCCCACATACCATCATTCTCTACTGATAACCTGTAAAGCCATTTACTCATAAGGCATTTATTCTTAATTTTCAGATTCTCAATACCGAGACCTCCCTGATCCTTGGGTCGGCATAATATATCCCATCGTGCTAGGCGATATTTCTTCTTGGCCTCATCTGACTGTCAGAAGAATCAAGATCGAAAGAAATCTAGTCTTTTCCGTACCCCCTTGGATACCTCAAAGAAGGATGGCAGGAATATCGACATATTAGTAAATGCATGCCAACAAAAATTATATAGTTGGGTTCGTATTTGAACTTAGTTTTCAATGCTATGATTTTTTGTGACATGCATGAACATTTTGTTAGTTAAATTTATGGTCAAATTTTAGCACGAAATACAATGAGAACCAACAAACCAGGATGGAGATAGTACTGAGTTAATAAGCACTAGCCGACCACCATACGACATTAACTTGCCCTTCCAACAGCTAAGCATAAAATTGGGCATGGACCCTTTTCTCTAAACAAAGGAGAGAGTCACGGGCATCCCTTGACTCATAACAGCTAGGTCATACACAGATCACAATATAGAGATGTTTTAACCTCCGAAACCCACACGACCGAACACTGCGATACACTGATAGCATGCTATGTTACGTACAGTAACGTACTAGCCAGCAAACAACGGCACATGCCTGGGAATATCGAATTGCCCCAAAAGGACAGCCTATATACGTACGTACGTCTGTAAATGCTGGCATGTCCTTGATCCATATGCAAACCTAAGGCCAACTCTACCGGGCTCTTCTACTTCTTCCCCCCTCTATGTTTGGACCGGACTGTTCGAATCGAAAACGATATCTAACAAGCTCCCTCATTTGGAGTCGGACAGTCTCGATATTTTGATATTCCCACTCCTCCCTCATAAGGGCAACTAACGGACTATTCTATTTCTTCCCGTATATTTGGACCGAATTGTCCTTTTTTTAGATTCAGACAGTATGGACTTTTCCATACTCCTACTCCAGGGTCAAACGGGGGAGAGGAGTAGGGTGCTCGAACTGTTTGCCGCGTCGACCCGACATTTGGACCTAACCCAAATATTCCACCCACCCCCACCTCGCCCTGCTTATCTACCCTCTCCCTGCTCCTGGACCACAGGGCCGTCGCCACACCCAAATCAGACGCCGCCACACCCAGAGGGCGACCACTGCAACACCACCTCTACCAGACGCAACCATCATAGTGGATCTGTTAGGCCCAGGGATTCGTGTGCCCTGTCTGAGGTGTTCCATGCTCGTGGGGTTATTCATCTCCAGTATGCGTATGATACCATTATCACGGTGAAGGGATCTAAGCTTGACATATCATCAATCTCATGTTACTTCATCTTTGCTTTGAGTCCATGTCGCGCCTCAAGATCAAATACGTTAAGAGCGAGGTTGTGGTCTTGGATTTTGTAAATGGATTAGCATCGAATTTTGGACAACCTCAACTATAGGTTTCCTGCCTTTCCCATCGCATACTTGGGGGTGCCACTTTCTGAATCTAGGATCTAGATTCGGGACTTTGACCCACTTATGGGGTGGGTCTCGTCCAGGATAGAGCCATGGTGTGAGGGGTTGGCTTCCAAAGGAAGCAAGTCCGTGCTCATAAACTCTTAATATCTAGCCTCCCCATGTTTATGATCGGTTGTATATTCCACCGGAAGGTGTTCATAGCTCCTTCAACAAGGATCTATCACGTTCTTCTGGTGGCCAACGACTGCCAGAAACACCATATGGTGAAGTGGGCAGATACCCTGCTTCCTTAGGACCAAGGTGGACTAGGTATTTTGGCATCCCGCCGCATGAATGTGTCCCTTATGACGAGATGGAGTGGTG